CTCACTACAACGACAAAAGCATGAATTAGCCGTTGTGTAGAAGAAGAGGAAGCTCTATAAATTTCATCGTTTGTCTTGTTTCTTTTAACTCAACGACAATGGCAGATTTCGGATATCTTTCTGGTAAAGACGATACAGCAGCTGTGGATGATCTGCTTTCACAAGCCAAAGATCTCTACGTCCTCGAACAAGTCGCAGCCATTAACTGTTCTAGCTTCACCGACTCTTCTCTTCCCACTAATCTCGAGACCCGTTTCCGTCGTCTCAAATCTCTTCCGGTTTCTTCTTCCTCCAAGAAGAAGCTACTTCTCTCTCACTCCAAGACCATGGCGTCTTCTCGTTCTGCTTTTCCTGGTCATGAAAAACAGAATTTCTCGGGAAACTTGTTGGGGATTCCGAGTGTGAATTCAGGTTTTGAGAAGGATTTCACTGATTCTGAGAAGATCGGTTCAAGTTTTTCTCGAGAAAGCATCGAACCCAATCTGAGTGTGAATTCTACAACAACCATGAAGCTTCTTCTTCCTAAAGAGAAATCGAGAATTAGCTCCTCTTCGTTTACTTCCATTGATTTATCTTCACCATCATCCAATCTAGACGCGGAAAAATCGAAATCGAAATCCAAGTTTTCAGTTTCATGGTTTGGTAAGTTATCATCATCACCGTCAAAAGCCATGGGAGGATGCTTATGGTGTACTCCAAGCAGATCATCATCAAACAGCAACAAGACAAAGAAGAGCAGCAAATCGCCTGAAGAACTGAGAGCTGAAGAACATCGGAATAAGATGAAAATTGCAATGAAAGAATCGAAAGGAGAAGTAAATAGACTCGTTAGAAGATCCAAGTGTGTAAGAGGGCCTTTTTGGTTCTTGCTTTGTTGAGATTTTGAAATACTTATGGTTTAGTCTTGGGATTCATCACTAGTTGTAGTTTTCTTGGGATTAAACATTATTTTGATATTATAATCCAAAAGCGAATTTTCATTCTGGTGTTGTTGGATACCATGAAAAGCTTCTCATTTGGTTTCATAATAGGGAGGGAGATTTGGCTTTCTTATAAGAGATTTAGTAGAGGTAAAAATTACTTTGATAATAAAATAAACTAAAAACAAGATTACAATTTATATTTGGTATGATTTGGGTGTTTTTATCTAATCCAAAGAAGCATTAGATCTTTCCATCGCTTTCTATGTCTTCTAGAACTGATGATATTGAAGATCATAAGAGGACGTATGTAATTCAAAAAAAAAAATGTATTTCATTTTAAAAATAGTAATTACTTCCAATATATACTTCGTATTCTCTCTATCAAATATGTTCGAACAAGAGTTTATTAAAATTATTTGTCAATTTCCTGTTGTAATTTGATATCGAAAATTTAGATAAACGATTTGCTATATATTACTCTAAGAAAACATATAACCGTAAATCCCCTAGTCCCCTTAGTTAGTGCCTAAGGATATGAAGAGTATACTCCAAAATTCTTCTTTTGCTTTTTACCTATTTCTAACAATTCTTTACCTTCTTCGTCATCATCTTCGTCTTATAGTTTTCCTCCTAGTTTTTATGTAACTGCAAAAACCAAATACGGCTTATAATCAGGATTGGTGAGATTATGATTGTCACGGCTCAATCCCATAAAATCCTCAAAACCCTAAAAAACCCGTTACCGGCATCCCAAATTAACCAAAGTCCTAACCTAGAGTCTCTCTATATCTCTATATAAGGCCACGAAAGTGAGGAAAAAAATCAGAGTTGCACAGCTAGCAAAACCATATTGATCTCGCTCTAGCCGTCTTTGTCTTCTCAATTAAGCCAGTTCCGAGTTGCTGTTATGTGGGGCTGATTGCCGGCGGCTCAGAAGGGCTTAGATCGTGATTCGTATATCTCTGGAAAGATCACGGATTCTAGTTTCTGTAGCTTCTTTCGGATTCGAATTATGAGGTATAGTCTACTCAGAAATCGTATTTGGATATCAGAAAAAATTACTGTTTTCTGAAAGTAGAATTCATGTTTTTAGATCCGATCAGCGGACTTGCGGGCTTGTTTACTGTCGATCTATAAGGACCCAAGAGACGATCTATATATCATTGGAAAGCCCGGAGTCTTGGCTTCCCAGAGACACCAAATTCGGGTTTAGCAGAGGTATACGTAAGAAGTTATATCTGTTTTTGTCAGACTGCTATATGCTGGCCGAACCGATTAAGTATTGTAGAAAGTTTAATAATGGAATATTAAATTTTATCTCTTGAATGCACATCAGCAGTAGCTTATCTTTCCTGTTTCAGTCTTCCGTTTCAATCCAATCAAGAAGGCTAAGGTGAGGGTGGGATCCATGCTACTTTAATACTAGTTAGCGTTAGGTGTTCTTACATGTTAGTCTAGAAATG